ATTACGCCTTTTCTCCGTGTGCTCTTCATGCTGCTGTGAGAGGGCATATAATCGATAGCATCAGCACCACTTGTCAGATTTTCACTCTAAAAACATCCTTGGAATTCCGATGTATACAACTATGCAGTTGCTTGCTAAACCAAAGAGAAATGTCGATCGATCTTCTTTACAATGCTATCTTACTTGAACTCTCTGTTTTTATAGTATGCCAGTTTCCGAGACGGAAAGTAACTCAATTCTTATGAAAGTGATGTTGCCAGGAATTTGATCTCCTGAAGCTGAACATAGTTCGAAATGTAAGAAGGCTCCCAATTAGAGAAGAAACAACGATGGTGTTCAGCGCAACTGCAACATATGAAATGTACGTCTCCTTTCAGGAAAAGAAAAGGCAATTGCAGGAAGATGTTCAATGCAGTAACCACCTTGGCAAATCATGCTTGGGGGTTGAATTTCGGGAAAGGATAATGGTGGAAAGCATACTGTAAGAATCAACAACAAAGAAACAACAATAATAGATTTATGGAACGGCCGAACCACTTTCTGAATGTGAGTCGTATGGGGTGCCCGTAGGAGGACTTGGGACTCGTTGCTCGAGGAAACGATGAAATGAGCGATTGAAACGTAATGCAAATGGGTATCATATTATCAGACCACCGGCTGCCTTAAAAAGCTCAACCCGGCGTCTGAATGTCATGAAGTGTCGCGATTTCTTACCAGGTACAGATAGTATCTAAGGAATGAAAATCTCGACACTGCAGCTCTAATACAATTGAATAGCTTCATGTTGGGTTTCTGAATCAGAGAAGGCAGATACTCGGCAGAAACTCCAAAGAAAAGGGATTAACTTCCTTCTAAGTTGGATGGAACTGAGCGCGTATGGTACGAATAGCAACTTTTGGTTTCTATTCCTTCAGAATCCTAAAATTTATACGTACTATTTTGAGTAGGTATAAATTTTAGGATTCTGAAGGAATAGAAACCAAAAGTTGCTATTCGTACCATAGGCGCTCAGTTCCATCCAACTGAGAAGGAAGTCAATCTCTATCCTGTTCTCCTATTTTTTCATCCAGGCCACACCGGAAACTTTTTACCTGAGAAACATACTGTTCTATGGAATCGAAAAATGCCACCAGATGTTAATTCCCTTAGCAGTAGCTATGCTCGGCGTAAATTCCAAAATAACAGAATGTTAGAGCCATTTTGAGACAAATAACATTCCTCGTTCAAACTGGCAAGACTTTAATGCTAGAGAAACTTCTAGAGGGATCATTTAATTATGTAACTCTATGACAAGAATAGGATAACATACATACACAAGAAAACTCTTGCGCAATGGTAAACGGTGCTCTTTGTGAAGTATTTACTGATGACACAAAAATTCGAGCACTGCGTTAATCCTTCGAAATCTAATCGTAACTAAATCAAGGGAACCAGGCCTTGTAAACTTCTGTGTTCCGTAGGTGATGAGCATAGAAAACCTTTGCATTTCACATCGGTTTACGCAATAGCAAGGTTGATTTATCGAACTGATGAAGTCTGGCGTGAAATCGAGGTAGCAGCTGGGGCAGCTGGCTTTACTATTACATTAATGACAAGTTTGTCTTACAGCTCTTTATTGAGCATTAGCAAACAAAAGAGGGAGTCTTTTTCAGCAATCTAAAATAACGTGAAAAAACCGATAAAGAAAGTATCATTTCAAAGGAAGTAGTGTAGAGGCACGCTACCTATTCGGTCACAAGAAGAAATGACAGAAATGGAAAAGAAGCCGGAGCTCGACATTCCTATGTAAAAATGATCTCATCGGCATGATAAAATGCTTACAAGTCAGCTAGATGTCAAAGATCAAAATTTGCTCATTACCTTGCTCTTTAGAAGAGGCGAGTAGAAGTCCCTTGATTTCAGACTGAAAACTAACACCAGGGGAAAATTTCCTCATGAGAGATACCGCTGAGGTCACTAAGTTGTCCAAAAACAGCCCTGTCTAACCATAAGATCGCACTCAACAGAAGCTTCTTACATCGGTACCATATATGACATTCTTCGAACTGGGTGCTTTCAAAGGCTTTCGACACAGAGGTCAATCCTTTCAACTTCCAAATGCGACTGTCGTTGGCTAAAAGCGGTATGAACTACTTCAACTACTTCCTTCTTGAACATAATCTATCAAGGCTATTTTAGATTGACCCGGTCTGCCTCCTCTTCCTTTCCATGCGCTTAAATTAATCGAATAAGTTGAAGTTGGTATGATATAAAAAGGCAACAATAAAAATTTGGTGCCATAGAAGATTCCTAACCAACGATATATCTGCATCCCATCTTCAGAGGGTCAATTCAAAAGAATTTCCTCTTTGCAGAACAATTGCAAGGTTGATTTCCACATATTTTCACTGAAGAAAGCAGTATATGAAGGAATATGGAATAGAAAGCAGTGAAGGATATGAAAAGCCAGGGAGACACTTACTGGTAGCGAAAAGCGGAACTTAAACGTTGTTCATGCAATGAGATGCAACCGTTTTTGTTTGAGGTTCCGTTTGAACAAGTACAATGGCTAATATCAATAATACATTCGTACAAAAACTCTAGCTATGAATCACCGTTGACGGCAATGGCTGTGGGCTGTTTCAGTAGTGCCCTACTACATACATCAGAAATGATGAATTGGTGGCAGGCGGCAGTGACCTGCACCATTAGAAGCGCCTCGGAGGCGCAAAGAGCAGCCGTTCGCAAGTTGTAGTTGGAAGCAACATTCGAATAAAACACTGTGTACCAGAGAATGTACATTTAAACTTCCACTGCTCGAGACTGGTGGAAAATGCAAAATTACAGATAAAGCTAATATTGACTGCAACTTCCTTCACTTTACAGCAGCGTAAACTAAAAGAAAAGATAAAAGAGCAGTAGTCAGAGAAGCTAAGCGAAGTGGCTGTGCCACAAAATCTTTTTACATTTTCAGATCCACTTTAGATGTTCGATTCGCGAGAAAACAATGAGTTGCATTATACATAAAGTATTGTTTTACCAATAGCGGAAAGATGGAGCTAATGATACTTTATCTTGTCAAACTTTTCGTTACTTTAGGTAATCAAAAAATAACCTATAAAATAATGAGCAATGATTAAAATAATCAAAAAATAATTAATTGTCATATAATTTTACTGTTATAAAAATGGCATTCAAGAAGAATAGCTACTGTTTCATGTAGGCAGGAACCTCAACTGGTGCAATTTTCTTTCGAAAGAACACATTTACTTAGACTAGCCAATGATGCTGATCGATCGACGAAATAACAAGCCCAGCACAGGAGTCGGCTTTCAAAGTAATAGTGAACGGAAAGTCCAAAACGATAACTCAATCGGCAAAAAAAAAACATTTCGTCTCCAATCTACCATATGATGGAAATCCGCCGGACAACGTCGTATGACGATTAATGATGAGGGTACGCTGCGGTAAGCGCATAACAACAATCCGAATGTTCATTTGTTTGGCCGTACAGCGTCTTGAGGGCACTTGTAAACGGTGGTCGTATCGAGAGCCGTATCGCAAATATGCTCCGCTTAAGCCCGGAATGTAATTATGCGCTATCAACAAAGATTATGGTAACGAGGAGCACCTTGAAGCCTACTAGAGATTAACAAGTTTAAGATCGCAGCACTCGCAATTAACAAAAAAAACTTTACCAGTCATAAAGTGCTCAGCCCTCAGTAGCTCAAGGTCATCCTTTATCTTATACTCTGCCGCCCCTTCAATCTTCCTTCCCTTCCCATCCTGATTTCTCCGAACTCATTGCTCTCCTATGAATATGAGAAAGTTGAGCATCACATTAGCATTGATATTACCAATGCAACGTGTACTTGTGAAGGGGTTTTTCATTGACATGCACTTGAGTTCATAGAAGTCGGGCGAGAATAAGCTGAAGACAGTAGAGTCCTCTAATGAAATGAAATCCTACTCACGGCGTTCAAAGTCCCTAATGAAAATTTTCGATTAATTTCACTGTCTCGTAACTAACAAATCAATTAAGTGTTTCGCTCCAAACTTGCACCTTACCTACAGCGTGCATGTAGCCAGACAAGAGAGAGGAACGTGACAACCAGGTTGCACATTGAGCGGTATGGCTTAAATTTAGGAATGGCACATCCTGATTACGTTTCATGGTATGGAGACAAATCATAATATATAAAATAAAATAATCATCATGGTACCATGGTATGGCATAAAGAGTATAGAGAAACTCGTCGCAACGAATTCAAGTATGAAAACAAAGAAGCGCCGAAGAAAAAACGAGGCTATCGTTCGAGTCCGACGCCAGCACCTGTCACACTATAGAGATTACACACAAATGCAGAGTAGGGCAACATTGGCATCGATATTGAAAGGTAATAAATGAAATATCCAGAACATACAAATTGTTTATATAGTTTGGCTTGCTGTGGTTTCGCAGTACCATCGAAGTCCCCGACCCTCATCAGATCTCAATACATGCGCTTACAGGCTACACGAGACCTGCTTAAAAGATCCATGGCGTAAACCTCGAACATAATGATGTACTTATGTTAGTTTCCTTGGCTACACGGTCGAAAACAGCTGATAGGTCGGGTCATACTCATTTGAATGTATTCGAAAAGCAAAGAAATCATAGATCGAGCATTTTCAATAGTAATATTATGAGCAGGCGCTCGAAGAGCTTTGAAACCGCACTGGAAGTGAAAGTTGGGTTTATCTAATGGAAAGGACCATCGATCAGTGTTTGGAGTAGACTTCAGAAGCATCTTACTCTCCCACCAGAAAACCGTAGTCCTATTCATTAAAGCTATTATACACTCTGTTTTATTTGGCAACATAGGCGAAATCCTACATTTTGAAGCGCAGTTTTGCTTGCGTGCAGATTCAGAGGCACAACGCCACTTAACTTATGTTCGAGGAGGAACACGACACGTGTGGGAGTGCCATTACATAGCTGCTTTTGAGCGGGAAAACCGTAACTGCTGTCGAAAAAAGCATTAAAAAAAGAAGTAAAAGTCACCAGGCCATGTGCTGTCCGCATTTGAACTTATTGAGAAGTCTCGTATTAACTCGCTGAACGAACGATCGTCAGACGAACAGTTGCTACTCATGCTACAAGAAGAAATCATCCGAATAATTTAGTACCTTTATCAGAGAACAATTGAATCTAACCTTCGTACAGGAGAGTTTTTCATGGGGGTCAAGATTTCAGCCGATAGCTTCTCACTCTTGTGAACGGAACTTTCATCACATTCTGGCTTCAGATCAGTTTCAAATCCAACGCTACGAGTATCACAACGAGAAGATTCGACTGAAGATCTTCTTTTCAAAACAAGCATAATTCCATTTTCAGCCATCTGAGCATAACAGCACAAAGCCAAAATTCCCTACAGAGAAAGCTCTGCGTGGTTACGTGAAGGCGTCAAAACATCTACTGTACGGTCAGTTTTGATCATGTTGGGATCAGTGTGATGTTCGAAAAAATGCATAAGCAAAAACATAAAGGCAAAGCAGCTCTGAAATCACAAGGAAGCGATTGCAGGCATAACGCACCTTTGTCAAGGTAAGTGCCCTTGTCAACAATCTCAATGACTGCATCAGAGGTATCATTTTCCGTGGAAAGTGTACACGTATCAGTCTCCGTTCCTCTTTCCGATGTTGAGTCTTTGCTGCTCGAGCGAATTTCTGAAAGTAATCGAAGTGTTTTCAACATTCACATGCCCACAATGAAGTTCAAGTCGATTGGAGTTTTATAACAGGACTGGTACTGATTGTGAGTGACAGACCAACCAGGCTTCAGGTTCTACGATCGTTCAGCTTTATAGGTTTTTCATACTTCAGAGGGCAAGAAAAGGCATATTAGGCCTTTTCTAATAACGAGGGCATTTTCCAAATCCGAATTATATCCTTTTCAAAAGCGACGAAAAAACCGCCCATATGCGTGGTTATGAAAAGGTTCTTACATGAATTCTCTGCACAGGCGATATAGGCGATACCCGAACACACCTGCTACAAGGTAGGCACACACCACTCTGCGGCAGATGCCTTTTGATATCTGTTGTTGCTTGGCTCAAGAACTACAAGTTGGATCGCCGGGCCTTGCTGCGGGCTTGTTCCTTCTGCGAGAATGACGGAATATTGGTTTTGTCTTTCGTACTACCTGTTTTTCCAACCCTGAGTTCGACTTTCTATTTGCAAAATACAACAATCCGATATAATCTCTGTAAAATATCCTTTCTATGGAAAGTGAAGGCATAACATATCACTATCAACGCTGCCTCTATGAAGATTTTGCATACCCTGGTCAATAAGATATCATAAAAAGAACACGTACAATAGGAGCTCCCCTACCACGATTCGAACAAATACTGGGGCATTGTCAGCCCATTAGCTTTGAAGGATGTGAACAACATTAATCTTTTTCCGGTTTACTTTTTTTGCAATGAATTCAAGGTAGCGACCAGTATCATGTATTACAAAATAGCAACCTCCTCGTGAGGGGGGATGGAATGCAGAAAACAAGACTGATCCGATTTCATGTACAAGGGACACACTGTCTTGCAATGAACAAATCGACAAACTGCCCGCAGCCGACTGAAGACTGGCAAATTTGTTCAGATCCTGCACACGACCCCATTAAGGCAGATAGTAAACTAGCTTGCTGTACGATAAGGCTCACTACACATTCCCCAATGAAGCGCTTCATAAAAGAAGTTTCGTAGAAGAATTCTGGCTTAAAAAGACATAAGCTGGGACTAATTCGGACGAGAATGATTTCATCTTTAACAAGCGCAGTTGAAAACGTATTTTATGACTACACTAAACGTTAGCATGGTTCGTTCGCCTGTATTCAGAAATTGCGTTAGCACATTGCTTACCTACCACGTCCACTGGCACATCCACTTAAGGTTTGTCGACAGTAACTGTGACAGCTGGGAAAATGGGGTAAAGAATATATGCGTTTGCAATGTGCCACCGCTAAGTGTGGATGCAGCCACTCACGCTCACGAAGTAGGTTGGGAGAAAGCTGTAATTTTGAGTAGCAAGAAAGCCAGTACCCGAACTAATGTTTGTATTCCAACTTGAAACTGTTAGTAGCAAATAGAAAACGAGGCGTTAGATGACCATGCCGGTGACGATAAAGGAATTATACGATTTGATTTTTTTCAGCTCCTCTACAAAGTGCTCTACAAAGTTACTCATTTCAATGGTTCCAAATTTAGTGACACAAGAAGTATGTTTATGCGCGATACCCAATTCCACAACAATTTAACCTACTACAACAAATTTTCGCTAAAGATGCAACTATTTGAGGGAAGTGTAAAACAAAAAAATATGTGTCCTGTTGGCATAGACTACTCTTCCTCCGCGGTAGTACCTTTGTCGTCTATGAAAAATGCGTACCTGCACTGGCCGTGGTGAAGGAATGAAGGGCTGATATTTGGATTTTGGAATTGTTGTTGGAACTCGTTTTAGCAGCTTTCCGCTTCCGCACCCCTTGCACTTTGACGAGTGAGTTTCGGCCATGATCCTTTTTCTTTCTACTGTACGAGAAATTCGATATAAAGGGACATGTATATGGAGACGCAATGAAATTCAAAACTTACAACAGGCTAGCTACGACACTGGCCAANCTCGTTTTAGCAGCTTTCCGCTTCCGCACCCCTTGCACTTTGACGAGTGAGTTTCGGCCATGATCCTTTTTCTTTCTACTGTAAGAGTAATTTCATATAAGATGGGACATGTATATGGAGACTCGCAATGAAGTTCAAAACTTACAACAGGCTAGCTACGACACTGGCCAAGTCGGTAGCATTCTTAAGCAACGACACTGGATGGAACATGGCCGAGGAATAGAACCGCCTAGCGGCACACTGAAAACAGCTTCAAAGTTTATTACTTAATTGTTCGAACGGAACGAACAGAACAAATTAAGAATCGGCTATCCGGTGAATAAATAACTACGATTCGGGCAGTTTCAACCTCAACTAAAGTCATTAATTATTGAACACATTGTACAATATGTTATAACGATTCTAAAAAAAAACATGAACAGAAATCAAACGACGTCATTCACTTTGATGGTTTTGAAACCGAGGTCAACCGTCGACTGATCACGCTTGATTGCTTGTCTTCAGGCGTTCCGTAGGCCTTCACGACGGTTTTATGAAGGAGAACAGCGGCGATCACACGGACGTTGTCAGCTCAGGGGAAATGACACAGACCTGCACTGATACTGCGAACCATGGTCAGGAGACGCGGTTACTTCTCACCGAAAACCGCGCCACGTTCGCCGCACAGTCGCGCACTATGAAGGAAAAGGCTTGAATTCCCTCTAGAAGGGAACGGTAGTCGCCACGGAACCGCTGCCGCTTACCGTGGGAATTTGGGGAGAACTACCCTCACCCGAATTGGGAAACTCCTTCTTATTGTCGGTGAAACTAGGTCACGCCGGACGCGTAGCCCACTGGTTGCTTTCAGAGAAAACGTTCATTGTTTGGTTGCTTTCAGACTTCGACGTCCGTCCGTCTGTCCGTCGCGTGCGTGCCGCGACGGCGGTTCTAGTTAGCTATCGCAGACGGACGACCGACGATCACCTTTCTAGAACCGCCATCGCGACATGCACGCGACGGACGGACGTCGAAGCCTGAAAGCAAACTTCCACCGAACGACCGACCGATGGACGGCGTTGCTGGTCACGTGTTGACAACACTAGACCGACGGATAATGCTCACGCCGCCTCGATCGCAATCTGTTCTGAGTTGTCAGGACTTGGCCAGCAAAGCTGTTTGTCGGTGAGTGAAACAATGCACGTCGTTGAACTCTGAAAGCACGCACTGCGATTTCGAAATGGACACATTTGAAGCGTGCAGAGACGTTACTATGAGAAGTGAATGAGATTTGCTCGTAAAGGAAGCAGGGTGAGGTGGAATAAGGCGTGTCTGGCTTTTTACTTGTAAAAATAGAGGAATTAGAAAAAAGGGAGTGAAGCGGTGGGTTCAGGAACTTTACCTATCAGAAATGTGCAGAAACGCTGCAGCACCGCGGTATGCGAATGTTCGCGCGCGGAAAAGAAATTCAAATCGCTTGCACGTTTAAACGTGTCCATTTGGAAATCGCAGCGGGCGGCGTTGCGCACGTTCGTGCCGCGTGACCTAGTTTCGTCGATGATAGGAACGAAGCGCACCTCCACCCGAATAGAAAGGGATGGGTTTTTGGCATATTGACCATGCGTAACGCAGGGTTACTTCTCGTACTTCCTGTGTCCTTTTGGACAGAGTTATCTCTTAAAAATGATAGAGCTCGGACAGGACTCATTGGTCTGCAGTGCACTACCAATGGATATAATCATCTAAATTTCTGATAAAAGCACTGATAAACTTCAGCACAGCTCCATTTTCACTTGTTCTACTTGTAAGAATTTGTAGATGGAAGAGTAACCGTAACCCGAAAGACAAGAGTGCGTTGAAATTTAACTGTCTGGGAAGGAAGTGTCTGAGAAGTAGATCTTATCGGCTGGGTAGGATTCTAGTCGAAAATGGGAGTGTAGATCAACGGGAGCCGCTTTTGCTTTCATTGTGCAACATTGCTTAACCTCGCGCATGGGAATGCAGGAGAACGTCCGTTGCGCGTGTCCGTCGAAAGTAGGTCACCCCGCCCACTTCGCGCGCGGCGCATCACGCTGAGGTCTCGAGATGACATTACAGTACCACTAAGTGTCATTGGAGCAAATGATTTGCATTTGTCTGTGTTATCTTCTTCTTGAACTGACTGCCGTGGACAAAACGCAAAGGTATGCCCCAGTGACAATTGCGACGTCTGTCAAATATCGCGGGCCTCGCCGCGTACGAAGGCTGCGGCGTGACCTAGTTTCGACGGACACGCGCAACGAAGCGCACCCTGCGAATGCCAGTTCACTGTATCCATGAGTCATCTCATCATGCGTATTTAAGGCTCGCCGCCAGCTTCTCGAGGAGCACATCGACAATGTCTCCGCCCGACCATCGCCATTCACTGTCGCAGCACCTCCCGCTTGTTACCTCTGGGCCCACGTCCTCCACGAATGGCGCCTCAATTTCTTACTCGCTGGTCTCAACTATTCCATACAACCGGACAGATCTCTCTATTCTCTGCATATACTGATAAATGTTGTATTCATACGCGTGATGCAGATGTATGATAGGTTACGTGCGGGCACTTCCGCACTGATTACTGTTAGCAACGAATCCAGAGTATAGGAGGGTAGGCGAAAGGGTATTGCTTTAATTTTGTTGAACCTCAATGAGAAAACGGAGCCTGATCAACTTCGTTTACCTAATCATGACCTTTTGGCCTATGTGGGCGGCGGCTGCATTCCATCGATCACTGCGTAGCTATAGTAGTTTATGTGTATAAATCCATGCCTTGTATCTCTCTTCCTGCAAATACACACATAGCAAAATTTTCTGAACTCGAGTCGTTCTTTTTTCAATGGTAGCGTAAAGTATAGTTTCGCCCAGGGGCCTGAGTGGTCTCAACACAAGTTGAGTTGAAGCTTTGCGCGAGCATTGAGTTGACTTATTCAAATGAGTTTGTTGTGAAAGTGACAGTGAGGATCACATATGTTCTGGAGGAAGTTTTATTCGCGGTCGAATTAGTAGAGTTCGTAGTGGTAATCTGTGTTGATAATCGTCAACAAAATGGCGCCAATTAGGCGAGTAAGAAGAGGAGATTTCTGAAAGAACTATAGCAGTTGAGGTGTCGTTCTGGAATTTGGTTAGCCCGAGTAAGCCTACTCTTGTGTCGTTTAAGAAGCTTTGAGAACTACTTCAAAATATTGGCGTAGTGGCAGTAAACGTGAGCACTACCTTACACATTTTATCCATGTATTGCTTCAATACTTTCGCCATTATTTGTGTCGTTACTTGCTCGTTTATAATGTCTTTACGAGATGGCCGTTTTATCGCGGCAGGTGAACCCCACGGCAGGTACGCTGCAAGAAATGGGGTATCCGCATCTTAACGCAACCCCCAGGTTTCGCTCGCTTCCGAACAATTTGGCGGCGGAACCGGATTCATGCAAGCAAGCGGCAAATTTTTGGCTGAGGCGACGGTCTTCTGTCCCATTTGTTGTTCCTCGTACTCGAGCGTTCTCATCGCCTTGGCTGTCTGGCATCTTGACCGTCTCTTCATTGCAACAGATGCTCACCGCCTTTACCATATCTGTGCTCTTTGTCTGCAGCACGTGCGGCTCTCACAACTTCTTGCCTTTCCCATCATAACATCTTCTCGGCAATCTCGTGCACGAACTGTTCACAATTTCAAGCGAGTTTTCACCAAGTTCAATCTGATAACAGATTTTCGGCATTTCTCGGGGCTCCATGATTTCTCACGGGTTTTTTGAAGTCATCAGAGAAATGCGCCGAATGCACTTCATTGTGAAATAATACCGTTACAACCGGGCCATCAAGACCAGTGATTCTTTACATGCTTGACCGCCACAGTACCGTCCCGCCCCTGTCTACGATATATAAACCCATGGAGACACCATGGAGTCGTCCAACCGTATTCTCTGTATTCAGTCTACGCCCCATTGCCATTGACACGCAGCCAGTTGTCGATCGCTGCTTCGGGATCCCGGAAACGATTTCCAACGGAACTTGGAGACAGGAGTTGTTACTCCTAACATCGAAGACGTTGCCTCTGGTTCCTTTATGGCACCATTAGACAACTCTTTTTCCAGACTGAATGATTCGGCCGTGCTACATGCGAAGGATTGGAAGGCACTTCGTCACGTAGCCTCGGCAGCTATTACAGAGGTATGGAAGGAAGCCCGGTCTCAGACCACGGTCTTCGCTCGTCGCATTAATGAGGTGCTTACTTGTCTTCTACACTGAATGAGTCGTTTACAGCAGTAGTTAGTCGGTTGGAAGCTACATCAACCATTGCAATGCTGGCCCAATTCGCTTTCGCCGAAGATAACTCCGTTCACCGGATTGTCAGAGGATGGGAGTCAATTCTCCATTCGGTTGCGCCGTTTGAACAATGTAATCCGTATGCGTCTGTCTGCTTACCAGCGAGCAGAAGGCCAACTTCTTCATCGGACAATTGGATGGAGTTGCTAGGGAGAAGGTGGAGGAACTGGATGGGGAGGCACTCAAGAGTTTCGATGCTGTCACTACTCATCTTCGGAACTTCTTCGAAAGCCGCAACAGCGATACGTAGCCCGGCAGAAGAACTTCTACTGTTCGATCACGCATGAATTACCCTTCCTTGTATTCTTTTCTTTTGTTCAATTCGCTATTTTATTCACGCAATTCGGTTTGCACGCCGTGACCGCGAAAACGTCAATGTTGATCTGTAGCGTCGCCTCGTGTTCATCAAGCCCCTTGCAGATAAGTACTCTTGAGTGTGAGTTCTGCTGAACCCGACGCTACTGGCACTGAGCCATCCGTGCCCCCTCAAGCTGACAATCCTTTTGGTCAAGTTGAGGAAATGGATCAGTCAGGTAGTCCCCATTTTACGCGGTTACCCATCGTGTACCTTTTCAGAACCTCCGGCTTCGCTACCAGCAATTGAGCCACTTCTGTTTGAGGACAACGACCTGGGATCAGACGTTCTGTTTGAATCGCTGGCCTGGACACCATTGTCTCGGCGCAGGAACTGGAAGAACTACTTCTCTCACCAGATCTTAGCTCAACAGCTCCTGCGCAAAACCCTCAAGCACAACCGCTAGAAGGTCTTCACGCAGAAGTGCTCCTCGCCGAAGCAAAGTCCGAGCAAACCTCTGGCGGAACATTGCATCTATTCCTCTCCCACTAGGGCCTCTGCCAGTGGGCCATTTCGAAGCTGTTGCTTCGCAACAG